AAAAGTATTGGCACCCTTAACTTAATATTTGGTTGCACACCCTTTGGAAAACATAACTGAAATCAGTCGCTTCCTATAACCATCAATAAGCTTCTGACACCTCTCCCCGGAATTTTGGACCACTCTTCCTTTGCAAAACAGCTCCAGGTCTCTCTTATTGGAAGGACACCTTTTCCCAACAGCAATTTTAAGATCTCTCCACAGGTGTTCAATGGGATTTAGATCTGGGCTCATTGCTGGCCACTTCAGAACTCTCCAGCGCTTCTTTGCCATCCATTTCTGAGTGCTTTTTGACGTATGTTTTGGGGTCATTGTCCTGCTGGAAGACCCAGGATCTTGGACGCAAACCCAGCTTTCTGACACTGGGCCCTACAGTGCGACCCAAAATCCTTTGGTAATCCTCAGATTTCATGATGCCTTGCACACAGTCAAGGCACCCAGTGCCAGAGGCAGCAAAACAACCCCCCAAAACATCATTGAACCTCCACCATATTTTACCGTAGGTACTGTGTTTTTGTTCTTTGTAGGCCTCATTCCGTTTTCGGTAAACAGTAGAATGATGTGCTTTACCCGAAAAGCTCTATCTTGGTCTCATCTGTCCACAAGACGTTTTCCCAGAAGGCTTTTGGCTTACTCAAGTACATTTTGGCAAACTGTAGTCTTGCTTTTTTATGTCTCTGTGTCAGCAGTGGGGTCCTCCTGGGTCTCCTGCCATAGCGTTTCATTTCATTTAAAATGTCGACGGATAGTTCGCGCTGACACTGATGCTCCCTGAGCTGCAGGACAGCTTGAATGTCTTTGGAACATGTTTGGGGAGGCTGCTTATCCACCATCCGGACTATTCTGCGTTGCAATCTTTCATCAATTTTCCTCATCCGTCCACGACCAGGGAGATTAGCTACAGTGCCATGGGTTGCAAACTTCTTGATAATGTTGCGCACTGTGGACAAAGGCAAATCTAGTTCTCTGGAGATGGACTTGTAACCTTGAGATTGTTGATATTTTTGCCACAATTTTGGTTCTCAGGTCCTCAGACAGTTCTCGTCTCCTCTTTCTGTTGTCCATGCTTAGTGTGGCACAGACAGACACACAATGCAAAGGTTAAGTGAACGTCTCTCCTTTTTATCTGCTTTCAGGTGTGATTTCTATATTGCCACACCTGTTACTTGCCCCCAGGTGAGTTTACAGGAGCATCACATGCTTGTAACATTCTTATTTATCCGCAGTTGTGAAAGGGTGCCAATACTTTTGTCCAGCCCATTTTTGGAGGTTTGTGTGACATTATGTCGAATTTGCTTTCTTTCCTCCCTTTTTTTGTTTTGTCCCAATACACACAAAGGGAATAAACATGTGTATAGCAAAACATGTGTTAATGCAATACGTTTCGTGAGAAATACATGATTTCCTGGAGAAATATCAAGGGTGCCAACAATTTCGGCCATGACTGTATATAAAAACTTGAATAAAAATATTTTTTTCCAGTGAATTATTTTATAGTGATGCAGATATCCTTTTGTAGAGTGTTTGTTCAGCGCTTTGCTCTGTGCACATTCAGTGGTGCCTGTTTTGTGACGCTTGATGTGTTAATGTGTCAGTAATAGGTCCACTGGAGCCGCCTCATCATGGCCAAAACAAGATTGAAACCTACAAACTGGGCTTGGATGTTAGCATTTGGCTTGTGATACATCAAGCAAAGATAGAGAAAGGTGCTTAACACGGATTAAAGAACAGACCCGCTCACTGCACATTATTATTATTATTATACAGTATTTATAAAGCGCCAATAGTTCGCTCAGCGCTGTACATTACAAAGGGGGACAGAACATGTGACAGAACAATAACAATACAATGCAAAACATGAGGGGATTGAGGGCCCTGCTCCTTGGAGCTTACAATCTAGGAGGGAGGGGATGGTGGTACAGGAGAAAGCTGTGGGGGAAGGAGTGGTAGGAAGAGTGGAGGAGGTCGGCAAGTTAGCAGGGGGTGGGGTAGGCTTCCCTGAAGAGGTGGGTTTTCAGGGTGCACCTAAAGGAGAGGAGAGTAGGTGATAGTCTGATGGATTGGGGTAGGGAGTTCCAGAGGATGGGTGACACCCTGGAGAAATCCTGGAGGCGGGCATGGGAGGAAGAGACCAGGGAACTAGAGAGAAGGAGGTCTTGTGAGGAGCGGAGTGTGCGTGTTGGGTGGTACTTGGATATTAGGTCGGTGATGTAGGACGGGGCAGTATGGTGGACAGCTTTGTACTTCAGTGTTAGATTTTTGAATTTGATCCGTTGTGCAATCGGAAGCCAGTGGAGGGATTGGCAGAGGGGGGGTGGCGGAAACGGAGCGGTTGGAAAGGTGAATGAGTCTGGAAGCTGTATTCAGGATCGACTGAAGCGGATGCACATGAGGAGATCTGTGGAAACTGACTGCTCACAGAATTCAAACAAAGCCTTTTTATTTATAGGCTAGAATAAATTAATATTTTTAATATTTTCTGGTGGCAGTTTTTATTTTAGTTTTTTATTTAGTTATATATTGATTTATTTATTTTATTTATATTTATTTACATATAATTTAAGGGCATATATAGCTTTGAGAGCGCTGTTTATGGTATTTCCATTTATTTATATAAAGCTTTTTTGGCCTTACTTCTGAAGGATCCTAGGAGTGCACTTTGTTCTGCACTCCTGTAACCCATTCGGCCAACAGTGGGCTAAAGTTGACATCACTCAGCGAATCCAGACTCTAGAGACATCCTGACCTCAATGTCAGGACCCATCCAGATATCTTACCAGCAAGCTGACTCAGCTGCTCCCACCCCCTCCACAGCACAATGCTTCAGTGAGCGCTGCAGGGCCAGAACAGAGAGTGGGTGACTGACAGTCACCAGCTCTCTACTTACTGAAGAGCGAGAACTGAGCAATCAGAAATCTTTGATCACTCAGTTCTCAGTGTAGAGGCAGCGGGGGGACAGGTGCAGCATCCGATCGATGCTACATGCACCTAGGGGAGTATAAATATTTGTTGTTTTCTATTCCAAACTTCTCTTTTAAAGTGAAAGTAAACCCTTTCAGCAGCTGATTTATTAACGTTTTGTTTATGCAGCTTCTTTACCCTTTAATCCTTGTCTATGTTCAGGTTTAGGCTGGTACCATGACCAAGGAGTCCCCTTAATCTTGTTCTATCCTGTGGAGTCACCCTTACATGCAGGGACTAAAGTTGTGTCTCCCTACATTGTGTACATCAACTGAAAGACATAGCACTGTAGCCTAGGAAGGCAAAGCACTCCCCTGCTCCTCCCTTCTCCAAGCTAACAGACTGATTTGAAACTGCACTGTCCACTGTTAAAGTAGAATTCCAGCCTTAACCTAATTAGTCTTAAAATGTCCTCTGCCCCCTCCTAACACCAATGCAGACCAACCTGTGTAAGAAAGATATATATACAGTACTTAACTAGTTTTATCCCACTCCAGTTGGGTTACGTGATCCAGCTTCCCCATGTCAGCCAACGCCAGCTGCAGGGGAGAGGAGGGAATGCCAACAACGTCTGTGATGTAGGAGCTCCTGGGTGATATCACCACTCCCAGGCATTCCTGGCTGTTGTTGAGCGCTCTCTCTCTTCCCCTGCAGCTGCTGCTGGTTGACACCGGATCATGTGAACAGACTGGAGTGTGCTAAGAAGAGGTAAGTATACACACCTTTTTTACACTGGTTAATCCGCATAGGTGTTAGGAGAAGGGACATTTTTAAGATCAGTTAGATTGAGTCTGGAATTCTACTTTAACTCGTTCCTGTAAGCAATTGAATTTCAGGGAAGCTGCACCAAGAGAGAGCAGGAGCCAGCGGCATTGAAAGCTGTAAACTGTAAGTGCTGGGGTAAGACTTTTATCAAATAATTTACTGGGAAATGTTTGTTTTATTGTGCTCAATGTGTTAGGCCAGTGGTCGGCAAGCCGTGGCTCGCGAGCCACATGCGGCTCTTTACAAACTTAAATGCGTCTCTTCTGTGTGCCGGGCGCCCGCTCCCCTCCCTCCTCTCGGGCGGCCGCCCCAAAAGTCAGGACTCTGCAGCTGTCAGGATGTAGGCGGGGCAGCCAGGATGTAGGTGGGGCAGCGTGACGAACTCCTCTCCTCTCACAGTCCGCCCTGAAGACCAGAACGGCGCAGGAACACGGCGAGAAGAACGCGCGGAGCAAAGGTAAGTGAATTGACACAATATGGGGAATGAATTACTATAGGGGGGGTGAATTACTATATGGGGGATGAATTACTATGGGGGATGAATTACTATATGGGGGATGAATTACTATAGGGGGGATGAATTACTATGGGGGATTAATTACTATATGGGGGATGAATTACTATGGGGGATGAATTACTATATGGGGGATGAATTACTATATGGGGGATGAATTACTATGGGGGATGAATTGCTATATGGGGGGTGAATTACTATATGGGGGATGAATTACTATGGGGGATTAATTACTATGGGGGATGAATTACTATATGGGGGATGAATTACTATGGGGGATGAATTACTATATGGGGGGTGAATTACTATATGGGGGATGAATTACTATAGGGGGGATGAATTACTATATGGGGGATTAATTCATATGGGGGATGAATTACTATATGGGGGATGAATTACTTTATTTTCAGTTTTAAAATGTGGCTCTCAAAATAAATTTCAATCGTGGTTTTGGCGAGATTTGGCTCAGTTGAAAAAAAAGGTTGCCCACCACTGTGTTTGGCTAAAAACAGAGTTTTTTTTTAATACTACTTTTAATTAAAATTTACTGGACTTTCTATAAAATAGTGCCAGGATTTCCTGCAAACCCTTAACAGGTCACTGATTGGTGTTACTTCTTAATCACCAAAGAAATCATTCAGACTTTGAATTCCTAGAACAAACTTTATTATAAATAATATGTAAACATTGAACCTGGTTTTCAGAGTTAGATGACCTTTTTTGTAGAAACGAAACAGCCATAAACTCTAGAAGGGCTGGTCTATGACAGGTGGGTGTTTGTATTATGTCTCCAGTGTGGAAGGAAAAACATCCTATTAACCTCGCTGATCGGAATGTCTTGCAGGGCTGGAATGGCGTCTTTTTGAGTCTCTTTGATCTGCTGCTTTTTGGCATACGAGTCTATGGTATTAAAAAAAAGGTTAATTCATTTCACATTGATCTTAAAGGGCAACTCCTACAAAACACAAGTTGGAAATAATATGCACAAATCTTTTGCTCCTCCCAAAAATATGCTATAAATGCAGTGCACCAAGTAAAGTGCACACCGTGCCACCATTGCTGTCCTACATGATAGTGAGCGAACTCTCTTCATAGGTAAAAAGCAAAATGTAGTGAGCGCTCTTGAATACGTATAGCAGCTAGAACACTTGAGGCAACCACAATACCTTTGAAATATCAATAAGAATAATAAAAAGTGCAGCGCTAAATAAATGAAATGCAGCAAAATTATAATTGGATAAAATGTATAAATCAATCAGAATAAACAGGTAGCATCCACGGTGCTCTCTAGAAAGATGAAAAATTCCAGAGCCTAATGCCTCAAATAGTAGCAGTGCGCACTCACCAGAAACGCATGGATTATGCGCATGTAGGAATGATCATCCTAGGTATTTAATCTGCCATGAGCCAGGTGGTGGGCATCCATCTAAGGGTTGGTCATCAGGCTTGGATATAGTGAGAGCTCCAGCTCAGGTCCAGAGATCCCCTTAAGGTCAGTCGGGTAATCAACTTGGATGATAATACTCCCTCCTCTGGATAGTAAAGGCCCCTTTCCTCAGGGCTTGTGCTGCTCCATGTGCTGGCATCCATGACCAACCCTTAGATGGATGCCCACCACCTGGCTCATGGCAGATTAAATACCTAGGATGATCATTCCTACATGCGCATAATCCATGCGTTTCTGGTGAGTGCGCACTACTACTATTTGAGGCATTAGGCTCTGGAATTTTTCATCTTTCTAGAGAGCACCATGGATGCTACCTGTTTAATCTGATTGACTTATACATTTTATCCAATTATAATTTTGCTGCATTTCATTTATTTAGAGCTGCACTTTATCATTCTTATTGAACTCGCTTCATAGCTTACACGTCTGCAGGTTTTGTATCATCATTCCTTGGTTTATAGTCTATCAGTGATCATTACAGCAGGCAATAAACTACCCCAAGGTCTCTCCAGCCTAATAATTCACATCACTATATCCTTCTACGACCCATCTGTGTTTTTTTGATCAAGTTTTAAATAACTTGTACAATGGCCATACAATGTCACTGTTTCAGGATATAATCCAAATGAAGCAAACATGTCATAAAACATGGTCCTGTAAACAATGCACAACATGTGCCAACTAAGAACATAAAGAATAAAGCCTCATCCACACATGGTATATCAATGTGTACCCTGTGTGAGGGCAGCGTTTATCCACACGCAGATGCCTGTGTACCATGCACCCCCATGCAGGCATGTCCCATTGATGTCAACTGGGACACGACAGCTGCACGGACATAGACGCTGCTCCCAATTTGACATCCATGTGGGTGTGTGTCCCTAAACTCATACTATTTGCATTTGGGGCCATGTACCTGCATGGATGTCATATTGGTAGCATCGGCTGCGTCCCAACTGGAATCAATAGGATTGCCTGCACGGGGATGCACAGAACACCTGTGCGGGTAAACACGGCCCTTACACAGGGTGCACATTGATACGCCCAGTGAAAACGAGGCCTAATCTAGATTTTTTTTTGTAATTCCTTTATTTAACAAGAAAGTTGCATAGTATAAACATATGCAAGAGTAAAGCATAAGAAGGTACAGAGATAGTCAAGTATCAATATCAGTGGCTAGACAATAGAGTCTGCGCAGCAATAATGAACACACTAAAATACAACAGACTTCAAATCGGTTATCTCCTAGCAAGACATAGATGTCTCAGCAAGAGGCAGTGAAGAACACCTCCAGCAGACATATATGAACTTTGACATATGAATGCAACCAGGTATAAGGGGTAAAAAATAAAAAATACCAGGGGCCAGAATAACCTAAGGAGAGCGTATTGCCTAATGGGCAAAGTAAACTGCCAAAATAACTGCAAATGATATATCTCAAAACTAAGAAGGTGGTGCAAGGGGAAATAATGGGGTGGCTGGAAGAGGAACAGAAAAAGGGGGTGAGATAAGTGGTAAGTATAAAAGGAGCAAGGCCAGCAGCCTCTAAAGGAAGGAAAAAAGGGGGAAGGCTCAGAAAAGAAGTAGAAGATGGAGGCCTAGAGAGCACTGAAAAGAGGCATGAAGATGGTATGGAGAATCCAGAAAAGCAAAATTCTCATGTCTGGGGCTGCAACCGGGTTGTGAGACCTCCTGCAAATAGGCATCAGTGTAAACGTAGAATTGCTACGACTTCCAAACGTCACGAAAAGGTCTCCTCCCTGTTGTATAAAGTAGCCATGAGGTCTTCCATGTCCCTGTGTTCAGTGATTTTGGAAAACCAGAGAGACTTCAAAGGCGGATTTGCAACACAAAGGGATGCCTGTGTTCTACAGCTGAATTGTAAGTAAGGCCCTATATTTTTTGATGGGTCATTCTGTGAGGTGCAGCAGGCAAGTTGCAGGGTTCCCTGCTAAATCAACATTTGTAGGATACTGGGCACCTCTTGCCAAAATGGTCTGATTTTTGGACACTCCCATAAAATGTGGAGCACCGTGCCCCATTTGGCATCACACCACAAGCATGAGTCTGGTACTTTTGGAAACATGGTGCAATGTCGTGGGCACCCTGTACCATCTAGTCAGAAACTTATAGTTGGTTTCTTGGACCTTGGTGGCAATAGAGGACTTCTTTGCAAAACAGAGAACTTTCTCTTTTTGTGAATCAGTAAATTGCAAAGTGAGATTGGATTCCCACTTAGAGAGAAAGGTACGGGTGAAATGCGCCTTCTAGGATCTAGGTAACAGATGGTAGAAGGGCTGTGGCGGGTCAGTTCCCATCTGTGGCAGATGCTCTCCAGTTCCACGAGCTGACGGGAAACACCCGGGGAAGGGAGGTAAGTTCTGGAGGCTACTGATGGGGTGGGGTAACTGGGGGAAAAAACGGGGAAGGAGGAAATTGGGCCTGGCCTCATCCTTCTGGCCTATTCCCCTGTACTGCAGTCTCTGCCCAGACCGTAAGGACAAATCTATGATTGCTGAGAAGCGAGTTGTTTGTTCCTAAAAGAAATATGGGGTCCAGATTTTCCAGTATTATTTATCTTCCTGTTCTTTTAGTGTCAGTTAGTTTCTCCATTTGCTAGATCTGTGTAATTCTAGCAAGCCACTGCACCCTATCAGGTGGTTCAGAGCTCTTCCACAGTGCAGGGACGCATGCTTTCATTTTACTGAGGTGGTGCAAAAGTAATGAATTATTGTGTCGCTTGTTGGAGAGCGGTGTGTCATGCAGCAGAAAAGCTGCCGGACTTCCTTCAAGAGACACCCGTGATAGTTTTGATCGTCTGTTCCACCATGGTCCAGATGTCCTTCAATTTGGGACATTCCCAGAAAATTTGACGCAGGATTCCCTCAGATTTCAGGCACCGCCAGCATGAGATTGAGACCTGGGGAAACATACGGTAAAGTACCACTGGTGTCCGGTAGCAACGTGTGAGGAGTTTATACCCCCCATTCTGATATCTACTGGCAAGAGAGGCTTTGTGGGCAAAGAGCAAGATTCTTTCTATCTGTTTCTGAGAGAATGTTGTGTTCAGGTCCCTTTCCCATCATTGCAGGAAGGGGAGCTCTTGTGGAGCATTTTGGGCAATCAAAGGCGCATAAAAATGTAATAGAAAGTGCTGGATGGGCTGACCAGTCAACCAAACTTGTTTGAACAAGAATGGTTCCTGCACAAAGTGGAACTCAGTAAAAAGCGAACGGAGGTATTCGTTTAACTGAACCCAATGGAAGAAGTCAAGGTCTTGCAATACAATACATTCCATCTCTTGATTTGTCGTAAGATGGTGGTTGCTGGAAAAGTGAAGGAGCCTAAAGAATCCCTGCTGGAGTAACACAGTGAAACGTGGGTCCTATAGGCCCGGCAGGAATTTGTGTGAGCCCAGAACAGGAGTCATCAGGCTTGGATAGTTGACCAGATTATGCCCTGCTTTAAGTGGGTTTTGCATTCCCATAGAAGAGTATAAGAATGAAAAACCTGTCTGATGCAAACAAAAACCCTGCAACACAGAGCCTTGGGCTCCCCATTAATTTCCAACCAAGCATTTGTCTTCCTGAGAAGATCCTTTAAAAATCCCCAAAAATATTTATTTCTGTAGACCTTGAATTTTTTACCTAGTTTTCCGTTTGCTTTTCCATGTTAATGTACACAATGTGCATGCACATTTCCTACCTGCAAACATCACTTTTCAGTTAGCACACTTGACTTCATTTGTAATTTTTTTCAAAAGAACAACCTTGTTCACTGGACATGGTTACTGATGTCTATAGAAAAACTTCATTATTCACATATCTTTTGAACACCCTCTATGGATGGCCACAGAGTCACATAATACAGAGCCACCAATTATTTTGAGTCTCCATGCACATTAGCATTTTTTTTAAGCTCAAAAAATGCTGGAAAAACAACTGAATAAAAAATGCTGATAACAGTGTCTTTTTAGTAGTTTTAGTAGTGTAGAGCCTTAGTGCAACGTCATACAGGTGCAATTTAAGGTGCGATTTGGAAATTGAAATAGCATCTAATGCACAGTGGCTAAATGGTTAGCACTTCTGCCTGGCAGTACTAGGGTCGTTGGTTCGAATCCCAGCCACAGTACCTCCTGTCTGGAGTTTGCATGTTCTCCCTGTGCCTGTGTGGGTTTCCTCCAGGTACTCTGGTTTCCTCCCACACTCCAAACACATGTTGGTAGGTTAATTGGATCCTGTCTAAATTGGCCCTTGTATATGTATGTGAGTTAGGGACCTTAGATTGTACACCCCTTGAGGGTTAGGGACTGATGGGAATGTACAATATATATGTAAAGAGCTGTATAAATTGACGGTGCTATATAAGTACCTGAAATGAATGTTAGTGTCTTAACATTTGTGATTTGCTGCAGCGTGATTTCTAAACTAGTTCTTGGATTACTTTTTCTGCAGTTTTGTTGCGATTTCACATACATAGAATATAATGGAAATCGCATTGCAAGTTGCAAGAAACCGTTAAAAATCTTCACAGGTAGCAATAAAGTCTTCAGAAATTGTGCTAAAATTGCACACAAATTGCGCGATTTTAAATTGCAGCGGTGTAACCGGTGACTAGTGTTTTATTAGCATTTTTACAGTACAACTGTAGAAAAAAAAAAGCTAGAAAAAAAGCTGTTAGGAGCATTTAGCGTTTTTTTCTGCTTGAAAAATGCTTCAAAAAAGTCTACAAAACAATTTTTTTCTGCTCTTAGATGCTGAAGCTCAAAAAAAATGCTAATAGCCTATAGTAGTGTGCATGGACACATAGGATAGCACTATTTAGGAGCAGAAAAAATGCTAATAACAGCTTCTAGGAGCTTAAAAAAAAAAAAACGCTATAGTGTGCATGGAGCCTGAGTGATGTTGAATGCAGACCTATTTACCTGTGACTATCTCTAAGGAATCTTGGGGAGCCGTACTCATCAAATTCACACCGAACAAAAAGACATAGGCAATGCATAGAACCACCAGGAGGTACACTGGAATAGCCACAGCCCAATACCTTAGGAGAAAAAAAATTAAAAAGACCCAGTCACTAGCAAAAAATTACAGGATTAAAGCACAGAAAAATCAAGTATTTTAAATGTTTTTTTGCAGTGTTTTTCCTTCTCATAAATTATTTTTATTGACATGCAATGTGCCTTTAAACTTGCTGGAGTCAATTCTCTAACGTGGCCCCCTCCCTCCTTGCGTGGCCTAGCCCTCTCCTGTTCTTGCAGTCTATAATTACTGTCTGTGCTGGCTTGAGGGAAAGTTCCGAGTCTGCTGGGTCTGCTGACATTACATCCAGCAGCAGTCTCAGGGATTTTGGATGCCTACATAAGGGAGGCTTTTACAGGTAAATAACATACATAAAACATGATAGGTGCCCATACAATCTTATGGGAAGATTGTTGTTGAAATGAATGGTCTGAGAACAAAGACAACTGAAACTACTAACAATTACAGGTACTGTAACTAACTTTCATTTAATATTCTATATTTTATATTAATATTATATGAAGCCCAAAATATATTATACAATACCATACAACTCTAATATTAATATTAGTACCCTTTATTTAGAAAATAATGCATAAATAAATAAGCAAACCATTTTATGCAATACAACAATCCTGATTTAGCCTTACAGGCTAAAGAGGAAGCTATCTTGGGCCCAGTGGTGTAGAGGAAGAGGGCCTGCCAGAGCCAATGCCTTTTCTAGCCTAAGCAAACCACCACTGTGTCAAAGGCTGTAGGTTCAGCAAGAGCATTTATGAAAATTTATATATATATATATATATATATATATATATAAAAACAATTGATGCAAAAATGACTGCAGAGCTCAATCTCAGTTTTCACAGGACTGAGATTGAGCTCTGCAGTCACTTTTGCAGCAGTTATTTTCTTGTTCTGGGCCAAATATTGAGCAATGTCCTTTTGTCTCTTTCTGTTAGTTGACCATTTTGCCCGCGCTTATGCTTATCAGATGACGTTTTCCCGGAGACTGTTTATGTCATCATAACCTTTGATACTGCACCTCACCGCACAGCAAATAAATTGGCAACTTCAGTCACAGAGGCGCCAGCTAAGCGGCACCAACAATTTGACTTCTTTGAAGGTCAGTAAGCTCTGACATGACTCTGACATGACTCGTATTACTAGCAGCACACAGTGAATGACAAAAATAAGTCTTTCCACCTGTTAGCTAGGTGTCTCATAACACAATGGAAGCAAAAGAGTGTTACATCACTTCTGCTTTCACTGTTGTCACTTTCACACCTGTAAATCATGTAGTGTTTTTCCATTTTTTTTGTCTAATCCCTGTGTATATACACTATATTGCCAAAAGTATTGGGACATCTGCCTTTACACACACACACAAATTTTAATGGAATCCCAGTCTTCTGTAGGGTTCAATATTGAGTTGGCCCCGCCCTTTGCAGCTATAACAGCTTCAACTCTTCTGGGAAGGCTGTCCACAAGGTTTAGGAGGGTGTCTATGGGAAGGTTTGACCATTCTTCCAGAAGCACATTTGGCAGGTCAGGCACTGATGTCGGAGAAGGCCTGGCTCGCAGTCTACGCTCTAATTCATCCCAAAGGTGTTTTCTGTGCAGGCCTGTCAAGTTCCTTCACCCCAAACTTGCTCATCCATGTCTTTATGGACCTTGCTTTGTGCACTGGTGTGCAGTCATGTTGGAACAGGAAGGGACCATCCCCAAACTGTTCCCGCAAAGTTGGGGGCATGAAATTGTCCAAAATGTCTTGGTATGCTGATGCCTTAAGAGTTCCCTTCACTGGAACTAGGGGGCCAAGCCCAACCCCTGAAAAACAATCCCACACCAAAATCCCCCCTCCACCAAACTTTACACTTGGCACAATGCAGTCAGGCAAGTACCGTTCTTCTGGCAACTGCCAAAATCATCAAATTGCCAGGCAGAGAAGCGTGATTCGTCACTCCAGATGACATGTCTCCACTGCTCTAGAGTCCAGTGGCGGCGGGCTTTACACCACTGCATCCAATGCTTTGCATTGTACTTGGTGATGTAAGGCTTGGCTGCAGCTGCTCGGCCATGGAAACCCATTCCATGAAGATCTCTACACACTTGTGCTAATTTGAAGGCCACACGACATTTGGAGGTCTTTAGCTATTGACTCTGCAGACAGTTGGCGACTTCTGCACACTGTGCGCTTCAGCATGCGCTGACCCCACTGTCATTTTACGTGGCCTATCACTTGGTGGCTGAGTTTCTGTTGTTCCCAGTTGCTTCCACTTTGTTATAATCCCACTAACAGTTGGCCGTGCAATATTTAGTAGCCAGGAAATGTCACGGATGGACTTATTGCACAGGTGACAACCTATCACGGGACCACGCTTGAACTCACTGAGCTCCTGAGAGCGACCCATTCTTTCACAAATGTTTGTAGAAGCAGTCTACATGCCTAGGTGCTTGATTGTATACACCTGTTGCCATGGAGGTGATTGGAACATCATTGGAATCCAATGATTTGGAGGGGTGTCCCAATACGTTTGGCAACATTGTGTGTGTGTGTGTGTATTTATAAACTGTCCCCAGACCTACGATTTCAGTGACCTGACCACGTGTACATGCAACCAACCCAGAGTCTTATTTCAGAGCGAGGAATATTGTCATTTTCGCAAACCATTTTGCCTCCCCTCCATTTGTATATAAACATACTCACATCTTAAATTAGTACTTACTTTTGAGGCCAATAGGTCAGTCCTAAGGAGTGTAACCATGATTCAGGAACAAAAGCCCACGTCAGATACAAGACTGGAAAGCAATGTGAAACACAAAATAGTGAGATAGGTCACAGAATCATTTATGAACTAATTGTACAACCAAAAAGTGATACCACAATTAATCATTCAGGTCCCAGGTTGATGCAAGCAGTGGGCTGGCCTTTGGGAGGTGTTGTGCAAATATCAAAATGTCTTAATGGGTAGATGTCAATCTGGAGGATCTCCATGATTAACAGAACTGAAATCCAATGAATGAAAGGGGTGGGCCAGGGGCAGTAGGGGCTAGATGATGCTGGATGATTAACAGCCAAGAAATGAGGTGGGTTCTATCTGACTTGCTGTAGTTCTTTATGAAGATTATTACAGTGTGCAGTGAGTAAGCAATTTCAGTACAGGAGAGGAGCCTGTACAACTGCAAGATTGCAGGGAAAGTTGAGGTCAGATTTAAAGTATCTAAAACCAAAACTTTTTAGATTATCATTATTATTATTATACAGTATTTATATAGCGCTAAAAGGTTTGCTCAGCGCTGTACATTATAGTGGGGGACAGAACATGAGACAATACAGTAACAAAACGAAACACGAGGGATTCAAGGGCCATGCTCTTTCAAGCTTACAATCTAAGAGGGAGGGAATGGTGGTACAGGAGGAAGTGGCTGTGGGGGATGGAGTGGTAGGAGGAGTGGAGGAGATCAGCTGTTAGGTGAGGGTGTGGTAGGCTTCTCTGAAAAGAAGGGGTTTTCAGGGTGCGCCTAAAGGTGAGGAGGGTAGGTGACAGTCTGATGGATTGGGGGGTAGTGAGTTCCAGAGGATGGGGGAAGTCCTGGAGAAGTCCTGCAGTCGGGTGTGGGAGGTGGAGACGAGGGAGCTAGAAAGTAGGAGGTCTTGTGAGGAGGGAAGATTACGGGTTGGGTGGTATTTGGGTATCAGGTCGGTGAGGTAGTTTGGGGCAGCGTTATGAATACCTTTGTATGTCTGTGTTAGTAGTTTGAATTTAATGCGTTGGGCAATGGGGAGCCAGTGGAAAGAATGACAGAGGGGGGTGGCATAAGCAGAGCAGTTGGTAAGGTGGATGAGTCTGGCCGCTGAGTTCAGGATAGACTGAAGTGGGGATAGTCTGTGATGAGGTAAGCCGGTGAGAAGGGAGTTGCAGTAGTCCAGACGTGAGATAATAAGGGAATGAATGAGTTGTTTAGTAGTGTCTGGGGTTAGGAACGAACGTATTTTGGAGATGTTGCGGAGATGGAGCCTGCATGAGTTTGCCAACGATTGGACATGGGGTTGGAAGGACAGGTTTGAGTCTAGAGTGACACCTAGGACTTTGGTTTGCGGGGTGGGACTGATGGTGGCGTTGTTGGTCGTGATGGAGAGAGTGGGAGGGGCGGGGGGGGGGGGCTTTGGATAGCACAGGAATGTGTAAAAAAAAAAAACCTATGATGTTTTTTCTTTTTACCATTTGGGCCCCATTGGGGAAAGTCTCCTTTCGTTCTTTCCCTCAGACACAACAGAAAGTAAGAGGAAATCTCTCCAAATTGAAGGAAAATCACCTTTTAGAGGACTGTCACCAGAACAAGTGTTCCCATCAGACGATTGCACCTCTATTCCTGATCAGGTTCCAACTCAAAATGTTGTATTCCCCATAACTTTCAGTCCAGGTAACAACGGTCAACAGAACAAATAAAGAGGGTGAATCCCAATGGAGACACAGAAATAAGCACCCAACAGAGGGTCTAACCCCTCACCACTCTACCCTCTACTAACAGATGAATTTATATATACTTGAAACTATTTAATGATTTATATGCATTTCAACAGAGTTTTAATTTTAAGTGTGAGTTCAGTTACATGCATCTATACAGTCAGGTCCATAAATATTGGGACATTGACACAATTCTAACATTTTTGGCTCTATACACCACCACTATGGATTTGAAATGAAACAAACAAGATGTGCTTTAACTGCAGACCGTCAGCTTTAATTTGAGGGTATTTACATCCAAATCAGGTGAATGGTATAGGAATTACAACAGTTTGCATATGTGCCTCCCACTTGTTAAGGGACAAAAGTATTGGGACAGAATAATAATCATAAATCAAACTTTCACTTTTTAATACTTGGTTGCAAATCCTTTGCAGTCAATTACAGCCTGAAGTCTGGAACGCATAGACATCACCAGACGCTGGGTTTCATCCCTGGTGATGCTCTGCCAGGCCTCTACTGCAACTGTCTTCAGTTCCTGCTTGTTCTTGGGGCATTTTCCCTTCAGTTTTGTCTTCAGCAAGTGAAATGCATGCTCAATCGGATTCAGGTCAGGTGATTGACTTGGCCATTGCATAACATTCCACTTCTTTCCCTTAAAAAACTCTTTGGTTGCTTTTGCAGTATGCTTTGGGTCATTGTCCATCTGCACTGTGAAGCGGCGTCCAATGAGTTCTGAAGCATTTGGCTGAATATGAGCAGATAATATTGCCCGAAACACTTCAGAATTCATCCTGCTGCTTTTGTCAGCAGTCACATCATCAATAAATACAAGAGAACCAGTTCCATTGGCAGCCATACATGCCCACGCCATGACACTACCACCACCATGCTTCACTGATGAGGTGGTATGCTTAGGATCATGTGCAGTTCCTTTCCTTCTCCATACTCTTCTCTTCCCATCACTCTGGTACAAGTTGATCTTGGTCTCATCTGTCCATAGGATGTTGTTACAGAACCGTGAAGGCTTTTTTAGATGTCATTTGGCAAACTCTAATCTGTCCTTCCTGTTTTTGAGGCTCACCAATAGTTTACATCTTGTGGTGAACCCTCTGTATTCACTCTGGTGAAGTCTTCTCTTGATTGTTGACTTTGACACACATACACCTACCTCCTGGAGAGTGTTCTTGATCTGGCCAACTGTTGTGAAGGGTGTTTTCTTCACCAGGGAAAGAATTCTTCGGTCATCCACCACAGTTGTTTTCCGTGGTCTTCCGGGTCTTTTGGTGTTGCTGAGCTCACCGGTGCATTCCTTCTTTTTAAGAATGTTCCAAACAGTTGTTTTGGCCACGCCTAATGTTTTTGCTATCTCTCTGATGGGTTTGTTTTGTTTTTTTTTTTCAGCCTAATGATGGCTTGCTTCACTGATAGTGACAGCTCTTTGGATCTCATCTTGAGAGTTGACAGCAACAGATTCCAAATGCAAATAGCACACTTGAAATTAACTTTGGACCTTTTATCTACTCATTGTAATTGGGATGAGGGAATAACACACACCTGGCCATGGAACAGCTGAGAAGCCAATTGTCCCATTACTTTTGGTCCTTTAACAAGTGGGAGGCTCATATGCAAACTGTTGTAATTCCTACACCGTTCACCTGATTTGGATGTAAATACCCTCAAATTAAAGCTGACAGTCTGCAGTTAAAGCACATCTTGTTCGTTTCATTTCAAATCCATAGTGGTGGTGTATAGAGCCAAAAATGTTAGAATTGTGTTGATGTCCCAATATTTATGGACCTGACTGTACATCATTTTTCTCTTTCTCACTGAATATTTTTATTTCTTATGCTGCTAGCATTAATAAATATATAGGAGAGTATATGATATTTTACTTGTTTTAAATGTTTTTAAACATTTCTTCAGTTACTTACTGGTTTTCATGTCATACATCCCATGGAGAGGAGGAGGAGGAGTTTTCCCAGCTAAACACACCCCTCCTGCCTGCATGCCTGAGCTAAGTTCAGAGGGATTCAAGGAAGTAAATGCTACATGAATGATCTGCCCTTACTCAAGATGGCCACTGCCAGAAATGCTGGGTGGTGTTTTTCAAAGCAAATGGATTCCATCTTGTGAACCTGCATGGAGGCATTCAAGGACCCATGAATATGACCTCCTCTCCCCTCTTCCCTACCCCTTATACAACTGGGAAAACATTTTAAACAATTAATCCTTTTTTATAATTTTCATTTATTGCATTTTTGCCTAGGCAAGGTTGACGTATTTAGTCAATGGGACCTAACAGAGATGCACAGGGTAACATGTCCTATAGACCTTGGAGAGACCCATAGTGTGTCTGTTTATTCATGGGACATCGGTCCAATATGGCGGCATGGCAGCACAGTGATGAAGAAGAACGTTTGGCTGCAATGAGGACAACACTGAACTCCATGAACTAGTAAGCCTGTTTTTTTTTTTTTTTTACATACAGGAACAAATTATAAGGGACTAGATATTTTGAATAAACATATATACGTTTATTCAAAATATTTACTTCTGACAATTGTTCACTATTGAACACTTATCTGTTTTATCTTTTATTGGACCCATATCATTGGTATATTATTTATGTGAATTTTTGATGTATGCATATATTTCACTTAGCGCAACACTATTTATTTGATTTGTGATTTAGAGGGGATATCCTCTTGGTGTGTTTGCTGCTTTATACACAATTAGGTTTGGGTATTTGCTCGGTTTAACCATTTAATATAATTATAAGGGACTAAAATTACATTTTAGCTAGAAATGGTGAACTTCCTCTTTAACGGCCTTTTATAAATGACAGGTTTACTTTTTAGAATTATATAGATCTGTAATAACCAGATATTGCATCATCAGGTTTAATATACTCACTAAATCCACACTGAGAAGCCAAGTAAAGGACAAAACCATAAATGGCTCTCTCCGGCAGAGGAGACGGAGAATTCTCCACCATTCTGTTACCTATAATAAACAAAGGAGAATATAAATTATTGCCAGAGCAGCAGAGATGTATGAACAACATGCAAACATTTATTAGTGTCTAAAGGAACTGTTTATGCCAGGTGCTACCTTTTAATTTTCTAGCTGTACTAAGAAAATATTATCCAGGATCTTGCATGATTATACGGGCAACAACAACAGCTCTTCTTCCAGACTTTGGTAAATGAGCTGTCCAATATACCCAACATTATTTGTGGCTTTTACATCATGGTTAATCTGGTTGTCTGGTTCCTTCAGGGTTGCTAGGGGTTCCTTGAGCAGTGAGCAACTTCTGCCTCTCAGATAAGTAACCGCAATGAGCAATGATCTTTTTTGGCCATTTGTAAGGGGGAGAGTCTTCCCAATGACCACAAATGTAAGACGTATTCTGCTAAGTGACCATCACACTAAAGTACTATGAACATTTGATATAGTAATTACTGTATTAGCAGGGGTTCCTTGAGCCTGGAAAGTTATTTCAAGAGTTCTTCCATGTTAAAAAGGTTGAGAAAAGCTGGCCTAAGCACACGTTGGTCTTGAATTTGGAAGCTCTTCCATCATTCAAGCTTGCTTCTGGGTTTTTTTTTCTCTGGCTTTCATACTCTCCAATATTTCCATAAAATGGCTTTTAACACTAAAATGCATCCACCCAGTGGTACCTGTGCATGCTTCAAATGTGTTCTCCAGCATCCCAGGAGACCTGGACCACAGGACAGTTTTTTAGGCAAATTCCAACACTGTCCATGCAGTGTCAAGGAGAGCCTGTCCCATCCTGAACCTCTTTATTGGACAGCAAGGATGACCATTATACTTATAAGCCAATAGAAAATTGGAGGAGGGGTTAAGCCTATCTTTAGTACTACCGAGAATGTTGAAATTCACATAAGTAAGTGCTCAAGGATTCAGGTAGACAGGAATACCTAAAACTGTTGGGTAGGAACAGGACCAGGAACTATCAAAGAGAGACCTCAAACCTGATGGCCCCCAACAGACTGAGGAAGGCAACTGCTGATTCAATCCACCATATATCTGAAATATTGCTTTTCAGTGGTAAACAAAAGATGAAAGCTGCACTCTTAACAAGCACTTCTTCCTGTATTTATGTAAACCAGTGGTCTCCAAACTGTGGCCTGGGGGCTGGATGCACCCCTCTGCTTGCTTTTATCCAGGCCTTGAGGCATTATTCCCCCCACTGTCAGCAATAGTGGGTCTTAGTCCCTACCACTGACACTGACAATGGAATCAGTCCTCTCACTAACATGAACTATGGGACACTATTACTACCACTTACACCAATGATGGCCCCCTAAAGTTTGAAGGACAGTAAAGTGGCCCTTTGTTTAGAATGTCTGGAGTCCTAACTGCATAGATAGCATTTCCACCCAAAGCCACACTTCTGTGATGTGTTTCACCACTGTGAACAAGCCAGGAGTGGTGAAACACGTTATGGAAGTGTAGCTTTGGGTGGAGATACTATGTATGCAGTTATTTTCCTGATATTTTCAAGTAATACAGCAAGAAGAGCTTGAGTGGTGCTGTGGATGTGGGTATATTCTTATATCACTTTTCAGGGAACTGACAAAAGTTAAAAGTGGTGTATGAATCAGTAGCCATAACAGTGCCTTCATGCATGGCTAGGATTAGACTATCCCTATGTGGCACACATAGGGATAGTCTAATCCTAGCCATGCATCCATAAATTTCTCCATTCATGCTCAACGGGACAGATGGAGGAATCTCCCCTGCCAGCTATTGTTCTCAGATAGCCACAGAGGACATAGTTGTCTGAATGCAATCACTGTTCGGCCGACAGTTTTCCTCCCAGCTCTTCGATTTTACAGTTGAAGTTTGTTGGTCAGGGTGGTACCGGCAGGGCCACCCACAGCTCAAATAGTGGATGATTTTGCAAAAATTTACCAAAATTTGAGCAGTGCATGGACAGTTTTAGAATAGTGCCTAGTTTCAGGTTAGAAAGTTCAACAGGGAAGGTGCTGGATTGTTGAAAAAGTGTGTTTTAGATATGGTCATCCCATTACAGAGAGTAAAGATATATAAGAGGGAGACACAAAAGTGGAAGTCGCCACATTCACTGCAACACAAAGGTAATGAAATCATAACAAAGTAGTGATAGGGGCCTGAGGAAAGACATCATAACCAGTGTGCCATTTCCACGGGCTGCACCTTCTGCCAAGTTCATAACTCATCCATGACGCATCATACGTGTAAAAACATACACATAAAGGCTTATTTCATAACAGTGAAATAGCTGTGTACCAAATCTCTAGCAACCAATCCAGGTTTTCAAATAAAACAATATGTCAACCCAAGAACAAAAATGCAATATATTGCAGCTTACAAATCCTTAGATGCGATAGCTGCGTTTGTTTTCTTTTTTCAGTCAAAGAACATTTACAGCAAGTATGGAGAATACCTATAATGGAGAAGTTCACCTTTTTGCAGGCAAAAAATGTGCATTTATTATTTCTTTTATTAGGAGCCTGTAAAGCCTTGCACCTGTGATTAGCAGATGACGGGTGCAATGCATGGCTCCTGAAGACTGACAATGTAGCTGTCTACTTCGAATGGGCAGGCAGATACTGAATGGCAGTAAGATCAATGAACTATTACAGCTCTCACCAGCACCCTAGTAGTTCACTGAGAATTACCAGCCGTCAGCTGCAATGGCTGACAGTAGTTGTAGCTCCCTCATTCACAGAACTCTGAATGAATGACGCGGAACAGAGCCCCGCATGGTCATGTTTCTTCAAAATTGTGTCAGTGGGTGTGGGGAGATGATCGCTGGATCGAGGGCTCGGGAGGGTGCGAGGGCTGCTTATTTAGCAGTATGTTGCATGTTATAACCTGAACACATGTAATATGTTATGAAAGGTAAACTTATCTTTAAAAGTCATTCTAAAGGCTTAAGGTTTGTATTCTATGCGTGAAGGTAAAAACCTTCTGTGTGCAGCAGCCCCCCTAATCCTTACCCGAGCCCCCTCCAATCCAGTGACGTTCTCAACAGCCTCTGCTGTCTGGGCACTATTCCTCCTCATTGGCTGAGGCAGCATCAGGGGGCCCATTGGCGCCTGCTTCTGTCAATCACAGCCAGTAAGCCAATGAGGAGAGTGCGTGGGGCCAGGCCAAGCCAAGGCTCTATGTGTCTTATGCACGCATAGAGCAGCGGCTTGGGGATGAGCATGCAGCGGTGCCCCCAGGGCGAGTAGCTTTCCCTGGGGGCACTGCATGAGGGGGAGGAGCCAGGAGCGCCTGTGGGAACCCGAAAAGAAGAGGATTGGTGCTACTCTGTGCAAAATCACTGCACAGAGCTGGTAAGTATAGTATGTTTGTTATTTTTTTTTCTTTTAAAAAGGAACCTTTAATGTCACTTTTATCTTTACTGAAATGCAATGCCCTGATCACTTCTTGTATGCTGAACTAAACGCACAAACAATGTTATCTTATTTCTGTAAACTACTACTCTCATCACCCCCATCTCATGGAGATGATGAGAAGAAGAAATTTTAAGTCCAGCCAGGGTGACAACCATGACTGCCTCCATAGATACTGTGCAATGTAGAACAGTAATGTTTTGGAAGGTGACAGGTGTACTTTAACAAGAACCCTCACCGGTGCTGATGAAAGTTGTGGGATCGAAGAATAAAAGGTAAGTATTGAGACTTTTGTTCCACTTGGTGGGATAACTCCCTTGTAAGTTTTAGCAACCACAAGCCTGTTATATTTGAAAAGCTGACCTAGATTAGTCTTTTCTTTTTTCTTTTTGTTCAGCCAGGGGGATTCCTCCATCCACACAACTGAGGTGGATATAGGAATTATCCCCACTGTGTCATTGTATTCCGACTCTTCCTCAGTCAGAATACACTGATCAGTGGCTGCAGCCTGATGATTGACAAAAGTTTTCCAACATTTCCATTCAACAGAAGTTGATTGTTAGATCAACTTTGTTGAGTGGGAATAGCCATAGATGGATAGATATTTGGCTGATCCTTGCAGAACCAGCCAAATTTTGATCCATCTGTGGCTAGCTTAAAGAGGATCTTCAATGTACCCCCAAAAAAAAATTTCCCACCATAGAAACGCAGTTCGGATGTGTTCTGTATGTGTTTCTGCATGTGTGTTTTTTTTGTGTTCAGGTGCGTTTTTGATACGTTCCAGTGAATGAAGTTCCACTTTAAGGGCCAATTCTCACCACAGAAATGCAGTCCTTTTGTATTACGTATGCATTTCTGCATGCGTGTTTTTGACACATTTTTTTTTATATGTTCAGGTGTGTTTTTGATAGGTTCCAGTAGATGAAGTTCTGCTTTAAGGGCTGATTCTCACCACAGAAACGCAGTCCGTTTGTGTTCCGTATGTGTTTCTGCATGCGTGTTGTTGACACATTGTTTTATGCTCAGGTGTGTTTTTGATATGGTCCAGTAGATTTTTTTCCCCCATTATTTTTCACCTTAAATAACGACATGCACGTTCTGGTGTGTTTGTGTTACGTTTTACCACATTCCAGTACAGTTCATTGCAGAAAAAAAATGCAGCATGTTCTACTTTTTTTCTGCAACTGGAATGCACAGGAACTGACTGCAGGGGTGTGATACAGCCTACGTGTGCATGGACACATAGGATAACATGCTGGGGAGTTTACTAGCTGTAGAAAAAAAAAAAAAAACCACCAAAAGCCAAAAACAGCAGCTGTAAAAACGCCCAGTGTACATGAGGACTTAGGCAGGCCACAGATGGGTCGAAAATCTGCTGAAAATTCGTCCAAAAGAATAACTGGCCGATTTTCGGATCGTTAGTGGGTAAATTTGTCGGCCATTTTTCGTGATTTTGACACATTTTTTAACTGGTCATGTTGGAAAAAAACCAACCGATTTTGTTGATCGGCCGATTTTCACGGCAATGATGGGCAAATCGGACGATCTTTTTACCGATTAAAAAAAATGCGCATGAGCTGTGACC